TCTGCAACGGTCTATTTATTTCTACTCTTTCACTTCTACAACAGTCAGTTTATTTCTACTCCACTTCGGCGATCGTCTCTTCCTTTTTATACTCCCTTGCCTCCTTTCGGGAACGTTCTCCAGCCGTCCAGAGAAGTCTCGTTTTCTTTGAACGGTTGAATTGCTTTTCCGGAACGCAGGTACGACACGCACGTTTACAGATACGGCGCACATGAATAAAAGCGCCAGTGGCTAGTCGGCGAATCGATAAGCCGCTCACACATACGTAAGCCCGATCGCACACAATCACGCTCGTGGTTGATACAATATAATTCTTATTGGTCAACTTTTTACATAATTGCCTCTGCCTAATAAAATAAATTCTATTCGAAGTGAATTGAGAGACTTTAAACATTTTAGCAGCATTTCTTAATTATTTAAAGTATCATTTAATTTAGGAAATTTCGACGAAAAAGTATTTATCTTTATGTGTTTATCAATTAAGTATTTAATATAATTTTCATAAAAATTATGCACTTCATTATTTGGTATTTTCCTATTGTATAGATTAATTATTTACTAACCAATCACTCTTACTTAGTTCTTCGTTTATAATATTACGATTTACATTTTTATGATTATAAGCTTTTTCTAAAAAACTTTATTTTCTTTTTCTATGTTGAAAGTAATATTCAAAGCTGAATGATATAAGCTAAAAGAACATTACTAGCATTATTTTTTATCATATATTGAAATAGTTTTAAAATGTTTATTTGCAAAAAATTATAATTTGCCTTTTCTCTAATTTCATTGTTTAGGGTGGATACCTACTAGATAAGATATATTATCATTTCTCACACCATCATATTTGGGTGAAGAATTTACAGTGCTCATATTTACCTCATTTATCTTCTTATAATTTACATATGAATATATAAAAAGAATCATTCTTATTTTTTCTTATTATTATTTGTTAGTTTTTGATTTATTAATAATTGTTGGATATCCTTTAGCATATTTTATTGTAAGATTTGTTTCTCATTTATTTTTTAATTGATTGATATTAAATTGTGTTCGGAGTTTATTTATTGTTATTCTACTTTCGAATAGATCTTTTATTTTTTATAATCTCTAAATATTACAGCATCATATGAATTAAAAATTATCTTTATTAGGGGCATACTTACCAATTCTGTAAGCTTTTTAATCTTTGTTTAATTGAGCGATTTCATCAAAGATTACTTTCACCTTTTCCTTATTACTGAATGGGAAACCAAAAGTCGTCCATTTCAACCGGTTAGCTCCATGAACTGGGTACAATCACGAAGACGCTCGGATTAGGATTATGCAAGATCGATCTCATGATCCCAGTATGAAGATTTCATGGTTACTCCGAGCTTGTATTCCAAAGCAAGATTTGGAATATATCTGAAAGGTCTCAAGAATTATTTGTTGCCCCGAAGGAATACTCACTGGTGGCTCATTGTATGACCCCAAACTTGAGTATGGGATGCGGAATAGCCGTGGCAAATTTACAGAATGGGGATCGATTTGTCTACTATCTTGTTACCAAAGAAGTATCGTCTAGCAAACCCACCTATCGCTTATTACGAAATTTTTAGTGGAATTAATACTATGAAGTTAGTCATATCAAGGATAGGATGTGGTTTGAATGAGTTGAATTTGAAAGTGGTATGCAGCATATTGGAGGTTCTGTTTCGGTACACTGTGGTAATCTACGAGAAGAACCCGCCCAATTGAATACCGTGCTTTGCTACATTCATTTCACGTCCAGATGCAAAAAGGATACGTCGAAGGAAAGACAGAACATGATTCGGGATAGATAATTCTTGAGGAAAGGGAAGCGTTACGTATAAGCATGTACATGTTAATTAATATTTTGATTCCTGTCGGTTGAGTATGTCCGCATGGGTAGCAACTATTTGTATCGTAGTGTAGCGTCGTTCTTTCAGTTTCGGGAACAAGAAAAATTCACAGGGGACCAGATCTGGGGAATACGGTGGCTGCGGTATTATTAGTGTGTTGTTTTTGGTCAAATATTCGTGCAAAAGCAATGATGTGTGGGCAGGGGCGTTATCATGGTGCATAAGGCCAATTTTTGTTCTTCCAAAAATCCGGCTGTTTCTAGCGGATTGCTTTGCGCAAATTGCGCATAACTTGCAGGTTACATTCCTTATTAAACATATGATGCACCACGCCCCTGCAATCTAAGAAAACTGTAAGCAAAACCTTCACATTCGACCTAATTTGGCGCGCTTTTTTTGGTCTTGGCACTTGCGGCGGCTTTCATTGGGATGATTCAGGTTTGGTTTCCATGGCATAACCATAAACCACGGCACGTTGTTCACTTCTACTCGGCCCTCTGAGAACATTTTGTACCGCCGATAAACGTTGCTTCGGTCCAAGGTCCGCACACTTAATTTTGTTTTTCACACAAAATTTGATACAGATTCTTTAATCCATTTTTTGGAATAGGCAAAAATCGAAGACGAGGCAAAACGCGTGCAAGCTAAGCAGCTGTCAAAAATTAAGTGAATATTCAACATGTTCGAACTCGTCGGTATAAGTGAGAGACTGGGTACCAACATAACGCCACAAAATAATCGAAAATCGAATATACGTAACCCGCGGAAAAAATTCGCGATACTTTTTGAACAGACCTCGTATAAGTATTACAAATACCGTGTTATAAATAAGAAGTAGTTTAAGTGTCCGGTTGGTGTTATAGTGTAAATTGAATAACTGTAGTACGTTTAGATACGCCATAAATAAATAAAATTATTATTAGAAAATTCGTCTCAATATCATGTTAGGATCTGAATTTATTAGAAACTGTTGTTACTTAATCCGTACGGAAATATATCAGTCAAAGCTTTGTTTTGTATTACCTTTCTAAATATAACTAGTGAATTTGTTTATTTTGTAACCTACTTTTCTCAAAAAAGAATACATTACAAGAAAGCTAATTTATAATAACTCAATCTCAGGATGTGTAATTATCAGATGTTTTGAACAAATTATTTTCTCTATTCTTCCCCTAATATTTCTCCAATGGATAAATCATAGGCCCCAACAACTGAGAGCGAGACGTTGATAAATAAAATATCTTTAGCCTCTGTCGGCTTTGATTTATCCAACGTTTTGAGCAAATTTTTGGAAATACATATGCAGTAATCGTAGTAAATTTTTGCAGAGAAACAGAAACGGTTTTCCCACTTATTTTACCTACCATTATAAATTTTATCTTGTTTACCAGTGTATCCGAATATTTGCAAGAATGTTATATAAATTAAAAAGATTATGTTTATTTATTTACATAATCAAATCTTACTAGAATAGAAACGGGAATTTTGATGACAGAAAGCTTATATAAATGCAGCAAAGAGTACCTATCAACAATATTTTTCATAAACGTGTTTGTTAATTAACCTAGAATAAAAAACAGTTAATATGGCGTCTGCTAAGTGGAGTTACGAACATAAGTAAGTCTAAAATAATAATAAAAGTATCTAAAGTATAATGTGTAGATTTTGTTATTTTATTAATTCAGTAGCAAATTCAGCAATCACTTCATTCTTATGGTTTGATTACGGATTTGTTCTTTTAGAGTTAGTAATATAAACGCACTGTCCAAGGAGAATGATAGCATAGATAATTTTAAAGCGGACAAATATATGTTCGGAAACTATGGTTATGGAAAAAATTCAGTCAAACTTCTTCATGTTTCTCGTGATGGTCCGAAACATACTATTAAAGAGTATGAAGTTGATACCCATTTGAGACTTAGTACAACTGACGACTACGTTGATGGTATGATAAATTATTATGTATTTGAAGTCAGTAGGACTTGCACAGATATTTCAAAAATTGTTTTTATTATCACTCGAAACTATGATAACATTTGAAAGTTGCACAATATTTTATGCAACATGTTTACTTTCGCGTTTTCAAATAAAGTTCTGTTATGTGCTTTTGTAATTATAAAGAAAATAACCAGGTAAACAGATCACAAAATCTGGAGTGGTTTGCTACAATAATAGATTTTTATATACANGTAGCGTCCGCTAACGCCCGTTACGGTGCGATTCGATACTAACGAGCTACGTGAGTCAAATTTTTATGTGTTTCCTTACAAATTGGCCCTACAATTCGCTTTAAAGGTTATCTGAATGAATTTATATGACTTTCCAATGTTGGAAAGTCTATTTTGAATTACCCTGTATGTAATAATAAAAAGAGAGACTGTACAGTGCAGATGCTCAGGTCCGCCAGACCATGTTCTGCCTGAGTGGGTATTTTTCGGAATTTTTCGTACAGGAACAACTACCCACTTCACCCACATTATCGACCGGGTTTGCAGATGCTGAGTGAGCCTTTAGGTAGCGTTCTCTTTCATTCCTGGTATAACTATAGGATTAAAAAATCTAGCAACCAAGGAGCAGTATTGATTAAGATTTTCCATCATTCATTATTGCTGGTTCCTATTTTATTTAAACTCTACGTAATAATATTTTTTATTCAAGATTGACCGAATTGAGATGTCCATGCCTAATAAACATTATTATACAGTTGATTTATCCAAATTTCCTCAATCAGTAATAGACACCAAAGAGAATAAAGAGGTGTATCAACCAGTTGACAAACCAGCCGGATTTATTTATGCTGAACTTTTGAGGAAGAATCATGTTTCAAAACTTTAATATCACATGCAGAATATGTGCATCTATTTTATCAAGATAAATAATATGTAAATTTCAATATAAATGTATTAATCCAAATAAACCACTTAGGTACTTCAATGTTGTTTTATACCCAATTCACCTTATTTCGGAAGAAATGCATAGAGAAAAATATAATTAACTACATTCTTCTATTCGTTATTATTTTGCGACGTGAATGATGTTTCGTGAACTAAATTTCAATTTTTAATATAAATGATATCGATAATTTATTTACTTTTGTAATTATTTAATTTTCTTCTTCATAGTAGCATCCCAATGAATTTTCCTCTGATCTTCTAGAAAATATGATGTTCATTCAGGTACCTAACGAATAATGCTTAATGCATTGTCGACAGAGTCTATTGTCAGCCCTCTATCTTTCCAATTTAGTTTTTATCAGCGAATATAGCCTCCTCGGCAATTTAGAAAACTACTAATTTTAAAAATATACACATTTGCGTGGATAAAATTGTATGTTGTACTGACTGATCTGATTTTTACCTGTGATGAGCAATTCAAGCATCCTACTAATTATTTTAATTTATTGTCTTATGTAATGTTTTGATAAATTATGCTGATTGGAAAGTAATTAATAGAGTCCTGAAAAGGAGTTCCATCTAGACTGCCAAGCTCGGCGACACAGTCGTTATTTGGGGCTGAGGTTTCAAAACTCTACGGTGAAAGGAGAACTGTGGGCTGCGGTCCTATATTATATGATATTATCCATCCCACGAATGAATGAACTCTCGACAGTTTTTTTTTTCCTTACAATTATTCAGAAGGATTTTATTCCTCGGGTAGGGATAGTTCCGCCCACAGATACAATCACTCCTCGCAGAGATTATCATTCAGAGATAATTATTCCTAGATCAAAGATTGATAAAGGCCGATTTTATCGGATCTTCCTTGATATAGATATCTGCCAGCTGCTGTTTGTTGTTTTTTGTTATCAACTTTTATCAGCCGAATAATTTTTCTGTTAAGAAGTTGAGGGAGAATTGCTCTGGTTCATCTGCACCTAATAATAGTATTCACGAATTAGGTCCTGTGAACGGTAGACATAGCAGTTACACCGAAAGTATGAATGCGAATGCAATGCGCGAAGTATTTTCGAACATTTAAGAGCCAAGACCTTCCAGTTTATCTGCATTTAGCCGTATATTGATCTTGAAGATAATATACAGGACATTGTTGTTTGATTTTGATTTACCAGTTGCTGATGCAATCATATGAAATGCTAGCCCATGGAACGAAATTTCGATAATAAAAGACGCTGTGGACGCTCGTAAAATACTACTATCAAAGCTAATAGACATAAACATACCTAGGAAACCGCATGAATCGATAACATAACTTGAAGAAAAAAGAAATTCTACTCGGGAAAGTTCCAGAGGATTATAAGCGGGTAGTAGCCATACCTAAAAAGAGAGGCGCGGATAGGTGCGAGATATTTAGAACAATTAGCTTAACTTTCCATGCGTCAAAAATCTGAACTAGAATTGTACAGAGGAGAATGGAAAAATGAGCGGAAGAACTACTAGGGGAAGATCAATTTGTGATTAGAAGAAATAGAGGAACGCGGGAGGCCATTCTAGCTTTACGGGTAACAATAGAAAAAACGATAGAAAAAGGAAAGAGTGCGTACATAGGATTTGTAGGTTTAGAGAAAGCTTTTGACAATGTTAAATGGGACAAGATGTTAAATATACTTAAAAATGTAGGGATGAGTTGCAAAGATAGAAGAGTGATACTTAGTTTGTATAAAGAGCAACAGGCAGTTATAGAGCTAGGAATGTAACGTAGAGAAGTAAATATTAGGAAGGGAGTCAGACAGGGATGCACACTGTCACTGCTACTTTTTAATTTATATATCGAAGACGCCATCAACATCATTAAAGACAGTATGACTGTAGGGACGGATATACAGGGCCAAAAAATTAGTATGCTTAGATTTGCAGATGATATAGCGTATTAGCATCTAGCAAGGAGGACCTAGATAAAGCTTTAAATAAAATGGAAGCGGTACTGACGGAACAGTACTGCATGAAAATAAATAAAGTAAAACAAAAATACTAGTATGCAAGGAAAGGAAAAGTAGGGAAAGAGCGAATATAAAGATAGGAGACGAAGAATTAGAAGTCAGATAAGTTAGGACGGAAGGAATAATAGAGATATAAAGGAGAGGATAGCGTAAGGTCGAGTCGCCTTTAATAAAAAGAAGTCACTTCTATACTCGCGAACGGTTAATTTAGAAATTCGAAAAAGGTCGTTAAAGGTGTATGTTTGGAGTACGGCGCTGTACGGGTGCGAAACATGGATAAAAGGTTAGAAGCGTTCGAAATGTGGTGTTATAGGCGAATGATGAAGATACCGTGGATAGAGAAGTCAATAAGAAATAGGTGAGAAGGTTAGTAGGACACCTTCTCAGGCATGAAGTTCTAGTCAGAGATATATTAGAGGCAGAAACGGAAGTTAGGAGGGGTAGAGGTAGACCTAGATTAGATTATCGCAGGATAGGAAAGAGTGGAGTTGCGTGTCCAACCAGTTTTATGACTGCCGACTTTATGATGATGATGACTCGGGATAATGAAAACGTACAAAGGAACGATGACTAGTCATGGTCAAAAAGTCGTGACAGTGTAGTGCATATACATCCTGTAGCCAATTTCTCTTTTCCGAAGAAGGTTAACACACTGCCGTGTGCCCAGATAAAATAAGTTAAAGTATTTAAAATATTTTTTATAAGTTTAAATCCCTAATTATTGTGTAAGTAGGTTTGAGGTTAAATGAATCTGATTACAATAAATGTATGTTTTTTAAACGTTGGGTTATACACGTAATGTGCAGTTCTTTATATCCCTATGTAATTTCCCTATCACCTACCCACATACTGTTTGCAGAAATGAACTAAATAAGCTATTATCTTTAGGAAACAATAGGAATATCATAGCAACGGATTCTCAGAAAAACACAATTTACGTTCTGGCTAAAAAATTCGGCATAAAAACTCCAGAAGAATTTGGTTTACTGATTTGTAGCCATTTTCTTTATACATATCGCCACGTAGAGGAGGTTGAAGTTGTTATTGAACAGTATCCATGGGAGAGACTGCAGGTTAACAATAGACCCCATAATCATGCATTTATATTTGATCCAATTGCAACTCGACATGCTACATTGGTGCAAAGGCGCAATGGTGAGTGATGATTATTCTATTACTTAACATTTATATTCCTTCAAATGCTGACTGCATTTGTTTTTTCTGTGGACACTATAAAATAATTTTAAATAGGTATCTGATTATATATTGGGATCCGTCAAATAGGCATACACCATCTGGTGGCAAAATTTATAACTCGAATGAGGGAAAAATTTACATAGGAACTGTGCACGCAAATTGTAAAATTGTTTATTAAAATAATAAAACACGTAAAAAAGTAAAAATTTGATGATGGAGTCGACGAAGTTTTCTTCTGAAGTTAAATCAAATAAAAAGTTAATATGTTCAGTGAAAAGCTGCAATAGCACTTCAGAAATAGATCTCCACTCTTCACCTACATTAACTGCTTTCCAATAAAAACTAACCGTCTATATATGTAAAAAATATATTCGGAAAATTAGAGAAAAAAGTAAACTAATAGAAGCTTGGATGAAAGCAGTAGGTATCAACGAAGTGAATTCCGGAATAAAAGTTTGTTCACGACATTTTAATGCACATGATTATATTTCAGCAAGTATTTACCATCAGCCATAACCTTAATATTTAAAACTAGAATCATACTAAAATTATAAAGTGAGAAATTATTTATTCCTGTGTAATTGATTTAACACAATTCTAATGATACGATATAAGTATTTTGANTTTAATTGCTTTCCCGGAACGCAGGTACGACACACACGTCTACAGATACGGCGCACATGAAGTAAAGCGCCCGCGGCTAGTCGGCGAATCCATAAGCCGCTCACACACACGTATGCCCGATCGCACACAATCACGCTCGCGGTCGCTACACTATCTAATGCGGTTTTCACTTCTTCCAATTTTCATCTCCCTCACTGTAGCTACCCCAGTTAATCATAAATTTGGCCCATAAATTTAACTCCTACAACTAAACAGGTGACAGTTACGATGGATAAAGAAGTTGATAAACGGCACCAACCACTTTACATCCAACCGGTATCTCATATTTTCTACCTAAACACTGTTCTTGTATAATAATTTCTCTCCTGGCAGTGTCTTCATATGCTTGATCTGAACTATTTTTCGCAAACATCAGCAAACACATTATTCCTACTGTTTTTTTCAATACAAATATTACCCTGCCGTTTATTCGTTCTTATACGGAACGTTCCTCTTTACTTGACCAAGGACATGTTTCTTCACTTGTCGCAAACACACCCTTACACACAAATACGTCGATTGCATTTTTCGGATGGGCAATATATATCGTATTATTCAGTATATATGTATAACTAAAGAAGTAGTTGCGAACATTATTAAGATTTCAAGGACAATTATATACCTAATTCAACAAGACGTCTTCTTCATACTACCTTCGTATAACAATGCCGCCTTTGCGTTATCATTCGATGCAACTGTAGACTTATTTATACGCTTCTCCAATTTATAGTTATAATCCACCATTACTTATTAATTTTCCCTTTATACCTCTTCAAGATCTATAACTTTAACACTTATCTTTCTAAGTCTCAAGATCAAAGTCATTGTGAAATTGTAATCATTTTTATTGATGGAGTGCTCGTTCGAGAAATTTATTATTAAATAAGTTGAGATGTGGAGACAACCCCATTCGGGTTAGAAAGTAGGTATCTCCTCACTTCACATCATGGTCTTCGCAGGGAATGAGGGGACATTCCATACCACTCCTTAAACTAACTAATCCATCCTTTTCTACAAGAGGCAGGTGTGGTTTACTGTTTCGGAGAGGATACGTTGCGGTGGTTATGCGGCTAGTTTTTGGGGATCAACTTCGTCAACATGGAGAAAGTGGGTTGCCCGTATACCGCTGAATTAGAACTCCATTTACAAGTTGATGTACCTATGCATTAACCATTTAAAACGCAGTAAATTCTTGTACGTACTAAACTGCAAGTCTTCTAAAATACTGGAAGTTTATTCGGAATGTCTTACAGGTGAGCCTACGTCGCAGTGTTTAAGGTATAAATAGTAGTGTTTACAGCTTCCGGCCACAGTTCTTGATTAATTTTCGACAATCGTTTTCTGAGCGTCCGTATTACTGAGGTGTATATCCTGAAGAACGTTTGTGGTTATGGCCTCCTTCAACACTTTGTTTATGTATTCATCATCTCGTTGGTCACTTCTCAGTGTTTTCATTCTACTATGGGTTTGGAAAAATGGCCTTAAATTATTTGAATCTGTTAAAAATTTCTGATCTATTTTTCAATAAGTAGATCTGACTTTTCAGATTCTTTTGAAATTTTCTAGTTTGTTTTCTGATCTCAAAAGAAATTGTCTTAATCGCCGATGTTAATGCTTTTACTATCTTCTTTTTAGCTGATTTCTTGACTGTTCTTTTGTTGACAAGGTCGAGACAGTCGTATCAAGAACAATTACCCTGAACTTCATTACTCATAGATTGTCTTTTCGCGTATTGATGCACGACACCTTTTGTTCACTATCACGGAACTCGTAATGAATTTTGTACGAATGAAATGTGAAATCTGCATTTGTTATGGTTCCACTGAAAATGGACTTCGGTCTCACTCTGAGATATATAAGATGTCGTTGTACCATTAACCCTCAATAAGTGCTTTGATTTACATCATGCGCTTCCGGTTGCAAGTAACAATATGTTGTTGGCAATCTTGACTTATATCGGTTCGTCAATCATTTCTTATTTAATAAACTACTTTTTTTGACATGTGCACAGTTTCTCCAAAGTCATAAATCCAATCGCTTTGCCTCAGATCAGAACTGACTAAATACAATGACAAAATATCACACGTGTATACCGTACTACCACTAACGGGAGCTTTCTTTGAGTCAGAGAGCCGTTTTCTGCACTTTCGTGTCCAGTGTCCTTTCTTTTTACAGTAATTACATATGTTTGCTTTTTTTCTTATTTTTGGTTTTTGTGTTTTTTTTTTCTTGGACAATTATACAGCTGACAATTTTTCCTGTAAAACTTCCAGTGCGAGATGGGTTTCTGTGTAGTCGTTTGACATGCATGCATCACCAAAACCCATTTATCCCAGAAAGTCAAACTTTTCGTCCCAAACNACTACGATAAATTTTCCCTAATCGGCGCCATGTTTTTAGGCTCCTCCCATTTGACGGATCCAAATAGGTACAAAAGAATTTCTAAATAATATGGCGTTTTCATTATTTACTTTCTTATTGTAGAATCCCCTAAAATAACCTCTGGATTAAAAAATATGCGTGTTTTGAAAACAACCCAATCAGCTTTCACGGATTTTATTCAAGACGGCTATAGAACCCTCCCTGATGATAATGATAGAATATTTAGCACTATAGTTACAGCAAACTGGAGCTATAGTACAACTCAAGGGGTTGATTTTGATTTTGCTTGGGATTCTGTAAAGAATTTCATTTTGCAAAAATTTGCAGGCCCACCAGATGAAGGAATATTTTCTCCTTCCGTTCAAAACACACTTTACTTATCTGAAAAATTAATTTTAGATAGTATACAACAGGTAAGATATTTGCATAGATGTACTTACATCTAGAAATAGTTAGATATAAGTATAATAATCAATTATTGTTTATATAAAACCCGAAAAAAAGGGGAAAAAAAGTTTTTTTTCTATGGCGAAAACTACGTAGAAAATCGTTTTGACTACCATTTGCAGAGAATTGAAAAATCTATAAAGGGAACTTTAATCAACCTAATCAATGCATACAAAAAACGTGAAAACCCGCAATAAACGTGTTTTTTTGAAAACTCGTGACGTCTTAAGATGTATTAACATTTGCCATGTATGAATGTAGCAGCTGCAAGTACGTAAATTATTAGGACGAAAATTTTGATGAATAGGTTTGTAACAATTGCCGATTCATTTTTTTTTGGGATTTTTTCAAGCGCACATCTTTTGTTCAAACGTGGTTAGATTCATTCATGCATGCTACCTAAAATATCAATAAAATGACAAAGGTTCGGGGTATCTCAGTTTTGACGCTCTTGCGTGATATGGCCCTTACTATAAAAGATAGAACTTTGCGGTTTTCGCGACAACGCCCTACTTTCTTATAAAATCGAAGATAACGCAAGCAGAATTTTCATATCCATTTTGGTTTTCGAGATACAGGGTGGAATTGAAAAGTATCACTTTTGAGGCAGCCCCTCGTATATCAGTTATCTGTAAACTTATCGAAGTTAAAAAAAATCCGTAAAATCCAGTGGCGTAGTCAGCCTTTTTTAGCACCTTACGATTTCCAGTCATGACGCAAACATGTTTTTTTATACGGAACAGGGTTTATTATTTCTTAAAATACACAATTATATACAATTGTTTTGGAAAACAAGCTCAGAATTTAACATTTTCTTAAATTGTTTTTTGTGTCCAATTAGTAGGTAGTAGGCTGTGATTAATTTATAGTAGAATGAAAATTCGGGCTATAGGGCCGTGGTCTAAATTGTCAACGCAGCACTACCTCTGAGGATGTGAGCCGCAGTAGCTGACGAAACGTCTGGACACAATAGTTCATTTAGACCATGGTCCTATAGCCCGAATCTTCATTCTACTATGGATTCTCCGTAATAGCCTTTGTTCTTATATTGTGATTAATTTGTTTAAAACAAAAAGCAAGATGTAAAATATCTCATTACTAATACAATGATTATACGTTGGTTCAACGATTTTGCAGCCTGTATTCTTAGGTAAAAGCAAGATGTAAAATATCTCATTACTAATACAATGATTATACGTTGGTTCAACGATTTTGCAGTCTGTATTCTTAGCTAAATAAAAAATCCAAAGTGTCTTAATGTTCTATTAAAAAAACACAAATGATTGCGTCACGTAAAAAATGGAAAGTGTTAGAAAAAGCCGACTACGTCACTGAATTCTTCGGTAGCTTTAAAGATAACCGAGATACTAGGATGCCTGAAAAGTAATACTTTTCAGTTCTAGACTGTATCTCAAAAACTAAAAGGGATATGAAAATTCTGCTATCGCTAAAACCGCAACATTCTATCTTTTAAAATCAGGGAGATACCCCGCAAAAATGCCGAAAATGGAATACCTAGTATAGTAAACTCAAATAAAGTAATGAATTAAAAACATGACAATCTAGGGCGATTTAAAACAGGCTTTACAACTTTGAAATTCAATTGTTAACTTGTACGGTTCAAATGCATTTTTCGCCACGACACACGCCAAATAGTCGTGTAGGGCTGTTGAAAAAAAATTGTCTCATTTGTTCAACGACTTCGTTAGATTTCTTACCGAGCACACATTTTCTGTAAAACATTTCTGCCACTCATAAAATGTAGGCCTACTAAAAGGATCTTTAGCGTACTTGATACGAAAAATTGTTATCGTTTCGATTGATTCTTCAAACCAAAACACACAACTAGCACGCTGGGGTCCAGTGAAGGAAGCCATCTTCAACGTAGCGTCCGCTAACGCCCGTTACGGTGCGATTCGATACTAACGATCTACGTGAGTCAAATTTTTATGTGTTTCCTTACAAATTGGCCCTACAATTCGCTTTAAAGGTTATCTGAATGAATTTGAATTACCCTGTATGTAATAATAAAAAGAGAGACTGTACAGTGCAGATGCTCAGGTCCGCCAGACCATGTTCTGCCTGAGTGTGTATTTTTCGGAATTTTTCGTACAGGAACAACTACCCACTTCACCCACATTATCGACCGGGTTTGCAGATGCTGAGTGAGCCTTTAGGTAGCGTTCTCTTTCATTCCTGGTATAACTATACGATTAAAAAATCTAGCAACCAAGGAGCAGTATTGATTAAGATTTTCCATCATTCATTATTGCTGGTTCCTATTTTATTTAAACTCTACGTAATAATATTTTTTATTCAAGATTGACCGAATTGAGATGTCCATGCCTAATAAACATTATTATACAGTTGATTTATCCAAATTTCCTCAATCAGTAATAGACACCAAAGAGAATAAAGAGGTGTATCAACCAGTTGACAAACCAGCCGGATTTATTTATGCTGAACTTTTGAGGAAGAATCATGTTTCAAAACTTTAATATCACATGCAGAATATGTGCATCTATTTTATCAAGATAAATAATATGTAAATTTCAATATAAATGTATTAATCCAAATAAACCACTTAGGTACTTCAATGTTGTTTTATACCCAATTCACCTTATTTCGGAAGAAATGCATAGAGAAAAATATAATTAACTACATTATTTTATTCGTTATTATTTTGCGACGTGAATGATGTTTCGTGAACTAAATTTCAATTTTTAATATAAATAAAAT